TGGTACATTTTAGATATACAAAGTGATAACATTCATCATAAGGAATTTGTATCTGTACATAATGTATGCTTTTTTTTTTTTTGATGGTACCAGGGGTCGATCTCGGGACCTTGTGCTTGTGAGGTAGGCATGGCATCACAGAGCTAAATCCTTGGCCCCCACGATATATCATGGTTCTCCCTTTTTTCCCATCCCTCATTTACAAAAGCTTTGTTTCCATACTGATCCATTCCTGAAGACCATTTCGTATGTGTCTCAAAGTCTTTGTTTTTGCTTGACCCCAAATGAATTCTTGCTAACATTTGAATGCAGGTAGTGCATTACATATTATACCAATGCTAAGTGTCTTGAATTAGAGGATTGTTTTATGATTATATATTTAGGGAGAAAAGACATAAAATCTGTGACTTCTTAAATGGTTTTAAAAATTACTAACAATTAAATAGTAAGGTTATATATAGAGAGATAGATGGATACATAAACCATTAGGTGAAGCTGGAGTTCATTTTGCTGTTCTTGCAACTTTTCTATAGGTTTTTAAATGTTTTAAAATGTTCTTAGATGATAAAAAAAACCCTCTGATACATAGAGATGGTGAGACATATGTTCGTATATGCTAACTCCTATGTCTCAGAACAGCCCTGTGAGTTGGTTGCTGTTATTGTCCCTATTTTAGCACAGGACACTGGTGCACAGACACCCTAAGGACCTTGCCCCGCCTCATACAGCCAGTGAGGGGGGAGGTGGGGCTCAAACACTGACCTGTATATTTCTGTTTTCACAATGCTCTGTGTATGTATTAGTGTGAGCTCTATAGAAATGTCTCCTTCCCAGTCATTCTTTGGACCTATGAAAAGCTGTTTTATGTGACTCCCCCTAGGACCAGGCTCACGATGGATTTGCTGTGTGTCTTCGTGACCAGGCGGTGGGCTCTGGGAGAGAGTGTGTCCGCCTCACCTCTCCCCACTGTCTCTGCAGGCTGCTTGGCTTGGGGCTGACCAATTGATGAGTTTCCCTGAAAGAGCAACAACAGCCACAACGGCTTGATTACTTCAACCCTCTTTCTTCATATGTGTTTCATTTGTTGTCCCTCCTATCTAGGACAACGGATGGCCTTACTTAGCAAAGATATAGCCTCATCAGTGATAACTTCAACATAGTCAACTACTTGATTTCCAGAGAAGCCCTTTAACTAATGAAGGCATTAATTTAAAATATGCCCCCTACTAAGACAACCTCTCAAACGTTTGGACTCCCCACTAGCATGCAGTGATTTTGGCTAGAAAGTATGTGGTCCTCAAAATGCCATCCTCTCAGATCCTTATTTGAGCAGTAAACACATTTTTAAAACACATCATGTTGTCTCTAAAAATAAGCGATATTTCAAAATGAAAACCAGTGCAAAAGAAGTTGGCACATCTGGTAGTCAGGAAAGTTGTATGGTTTGTTTGTAGAGAGTGACAAGCCAAGGAACATTCAAACTTGGCCAGTTGCAAACTTTTCTTCTATCTGTGATAACACCTGGTTTTAAAAATTGGCTCCAGGCTTAAAGCAGAAAGAACATTGGAAATGGGCAGAGAATTAAACAGCATCATTTACTATCTTGTATTGTGCAAGGAATTATAAAGAACTGTTTTTTTAAAGAAAAGAATGGAACAAAAAGTAAAGGCAAGCATGAAAACAATAACATAGCAGTAATGGGTGACCACTACTGAATACCTACTGTGTGCTAGTCAGTATGCTGAGTCCATTATATTTGTCGTTATTACCAGTTGCATAGCAGCCTTATGAGGCGTGATGTTTTTCTTCCTGTTTCACAGGTAATAGACAGAGAGATAAGGCACACAAATTCCAGTAATTTGCCTGTCACGCAGCTAGCCTATGGCAGGCAGGCGGTCTCCAAAGTCAGCACTCCAAAGCACTGCCTCATTCTTCTCAGCAGCCTGGAGGTGTTCGTTATGTGTGGTGTTACGAAAAAATTAAGAATCAGATGGTTGTATTGCGCACAATGGCTCTTGGTCAAACAGTTGTTTGAAACGACTTGTGAGACAGATGATACCATTTTCTAGATCGTTCTCATAGTTGCACATAAACATTACATGTTCCCAAGAAATTCAATATTCGTCCTTATGCTTTGAGGTTCTCATTTGTGATACCTGTCAGAGGCTGTCACTCTTCTGTGGTTAGAAGATGTTGAAGTGGGCTGGTGAATTTGGAAGTAGCAAGTGGTAGAGTAAAAAGTGATGAAGACATTGGGGATAGAAAGACTAATGTTTATTATAGAATAGGAAGTAGGTAAATTTAAAAAAGGATGTATATATCAGGGAAAATTAATATTTTAGTATTACAGAACAAGCAAATAAGGTAATTATATTAATCCCAAGTGAAGGATTATATGGGCAGCCCTGACCAGTGCAAAATTCTCTTCCTACTGGCTTTATCTTCCATCCAACCTAACAACCTAGTTAGCATACTTTGGAGGGACATCAGTGATTTGACATAGTTGGAGATTTTTTTTTTTAATGGCACTGTGTTTTTAAAAGACAATCAGAAGGGCCTCCATGTTGATCAGCATTTAATATTTACTATGTTTTATTTTCATTCATTCATTCTTAACCTCCTTGGACAGTGTTTATTGTGTATTGTATAACAGACCCAGAGGTAATGCTTAAGGATGCAGGGATGTCTCAAACAAGGGCTTTGCCTTTAAAGACCAATAAAGTATAAAAAATGAATAGGTGCCAGGCAGTCAAACAGTTAAATTCCTTGTCATTTTCCATGTGCCAAGGTAGCTGTGTTGTGGAAATGAAAGGAAGAATTTGTGAGCACCAGGGGAATCCACCCAGTGGGCACCGGGGAAAGGAGGCCTTCTGAGCAGGAAACCTTTGAATAGAGACCTTAAAGACACAGAGATGCTCATTAGGTCAGTGAGTCAGGGTGAAGAGGATGAGCAAGACAAAGGTTAAAGGAACATTTTCAGTGACCATATAGGTATTTATCAATTCAAAGATACACATTTTAAAGAATCACAGTATCTCAGAAGAAACTAGACATCATGCCAAGTCTAACTATTTGTTCATGTTCTTACTGGTGCATAAAGTCAGAGTATTCCTTACAGCGTGTGGCATTTTAGACTTGAAGAACTGAATCTTGCTTTGTCTTCAAGTAGTATTCTTGAGTGTGCTGTTTTAGCTGCTATTGTCTTTGTTTTAGGGGATGGATAGATGTTAATGCATTGTTATTAAATGGGAAATGGGTATGAGATGATTGAATTCCTTGTATAAATATATGACATTCTGTTCGGCACGATACTTGACATCTGATGTTGCGTCTCATACCAGTAGCTAGTGGTAGCGGAACCTGTGGAGACGATCCGGGTATCTTATGCACTGGAGTAGGCTCTGAGCCATTGTTTTGCCTATTTCCAAAGCAAAAAGGAAGTTAGAAATGCAAATGCATAGGGGATTTAGGATTGTAAAGTTATTTCATTTATGATACATTTTACAAAACCATTACCCACCATTCTTGGTGTCAAGATGAAGCCTAGTAATCTAGTGTTTGATGAGTTATGAAAACACAATATCTATAACTAATCATTCAAAGCGCAAGATGATGGATCAGGCTGCAGTCAAGGTTCTGGTTAGTGTATCTGAAAAATAGAATCAAAGATTCCTGTTGGAACTGAAGATCCTGGAAAGTGTCTAAGCATCCTAGAGCCCCAATTTAAGCACCCTAATGTATCTGCTGCCATTAAATTCTGTGTGACCATGGGTTAGTTAGTTCCACTTGGATTTTCCGGAAAGGTGGACTAGTGCAGGGCTCCTGCCAGCTCCCGATGATTTGATTCTGCCAGCAGTTTTGAAATGTGGCTGCCCTGATGAGCGCATCGTGATTACTCCAATGTCTTGTTTGTCCCTTGGTTTTAGGGGCTATTGGAAGAAAATGTTAGAAAACGTGACTTGTAAAGTCACTTTTTAGCTATGGATTTAATTTTGGGGAAAAATGAAAGGAAATTATGCCCCTTGAGGCCAAAGAGATGACACTGTCTACCTGTCTTGATCCCAGATGCATTATGAAGAAGATGGGAAATTGAGTGAGAAAATTTCAGAGCCTAATTTGTGAAAAATTGAGGTCATTTTTATTTTTATTTGTTAGAAGAGGGAAGAGAGTTAGTGAGGCTGAACCAGAGAGGTGGCAAAAACTGTTTGAAAAAGCACATTCACATAAAGAGAATGTCTGGAATGATTCCATTATTTTTTTATAAACAAATCATGGTGATTTTTTTTTCTTTTTTCCTCTTTCTTTTTACTTTTCCATAATGACACAGATTACTGTGGGCTTCTTTTTTTCTTTTCCCTTTGGCGGAATTTTTCTATAATGGAGGATTTTAACTAATTAAAATGAAAACTCGATGTCAAATCTGGTCACTATGTTGCTTTTCAAGAGAGCATTTTGTGGTTTTCTCATCTTGATTTTTTTAATAGGTATAGTTCCAATGCCAATGTTTTCGGATAAAGATTAAAAAAATGAAGTTTGGAAAGACACAGCCTTTTAAAGAGGCTTTTTTGGAAGTCCAGATTTGGAATGAAGTAAACCAGTTAAACAGGTTTTTTCAGCAGTGTCAACTTTCCTTGCTGGATGATTCAAGATATTAGCTATTTTAGGAAAAAAAACACTTGGTTAGATACAGGTAATTCTATCTACTTATCACCTTAACCATATCTATAAGGCTATTATATGACTCTCAATGTAATTCTCATATAGAAGGAGAGCAGTTTAACCCATTTTGTATGAACGGTGATTATGGAAGAATTTCTATTGTAGCAGTATGGCTTTTTCACTGGAATTAGGGAAAGCTCTTTGGTATTATCAATACTAAAAAAAGAAAGAAGATGCAAGGTCTGTCTCTAAAGATGGGTCCTGATATGTGTGCACATATGTGTATTTACTGATTTCTGATGTAAGGGGCATGAAAGCTAACCTGATTCATTTGTTTTTAGGGGCTCTTGGCTTTGGGTCTCAGTGCAAGTCCATTGGAAAAGGCAGCTGCAACAATCTAGTGGTCACCAGCAGTCCCATGATGGTTCAGCGACTGGGACCCATTTCACCTCCAGCAAGCCAGGTCTCTACAGCATGCAACCAGATCAGTCCTAGCTTACAGAGGGCAATGAATGCAGCCAACCTGAATATACCTCCTTCAGATACCAGGTCTCAAGTTACTTTTTTTTCCCCCTTCTTTATGGTATAATCACACCCCATGAGTGTTTTCCTTTTTCTTCCTGAACAGGCACACACACTCTCATGTACACATACACACATTCCCCCCCGGCCCCCATCAAGCAGCTTTTCCAATTTGAGCTTTGTAGGGCAGCGTATCTAAAAGCTATATATGTGTGTGTGCTATCACGCCCTCTTTATTGGGAAGAATGGTTTAATAGCTGCTGTCTTGTGCTGTGAGTGATAATAAATGCCCAGTTTGAGATTCTGGGCTGAGTGACTGAAGCCCAGGGTGTAAATTTGTCAGTTCCTGCTGAAGCAGGTCATGTCAGAGCCCAGCACTTACCTGTCTTACCTGCTAGGTCTTCAGTATACACGCTGCAGAGTCTCTAGGCTGCTTTCAAGCTCTTTTGCAAATCCACCCATCTGTCCATCTACCTGTTTACTAGAATATGTATTATGTGCCACCTATCTTGCATAATCTGGTGCTCATTATAGGGTACCTGAGCCATATCCCGTAAGTGGTCCTTTGTATGAGCTGGCCATAGAAGGGTTTTTCTTTCTGTGTTTTCCGGCATATTTGATTCCTTAGCACAATTTTATAGCCTTAAGGTTAGGGTTAGTAGCAAGAATAAAGGTAGAAATCATGAATTTTAAGACTTTATGATATGTCTGGGAAGACATATTTTCACGTCTGAGTTACATAACATTTCAACACTGTGTCTGATTAGGTGGCAGAATAAGTAGGTAGAGTAAATGCTGTGTATCCAGCCCCATTGGGAAGAACTGAATAGGGAAGAGAAATCACTCCCTCAGATAAATTTTTCTCTCTCTCAAGGTTGATGTGGAGGGAGGATAAAACCCTCCAAAGTACTGCACAGTATTTAAGGTCTAGTTCTCTGAGAACTTAAATTATTTCATCTTCCAGGAGTTACTGTTTGGGAAAAAAACAATATAAATTTGTTGTGTCCCAGTCCTGGTACTGCTGTAGCTATGATCTTGCACAGGTGTTTAGTCTCTGGGTCTCTGCTTCCTCTTGAAGGCTGTAACCTACTAAAGCTCCTTGTGATTCTAAGACCCTGTTTCTTCTCCCTTCTTTTCCTCCTGCCCCTCTCCTCCTTTCTTGTCTTCCTGCATGATCCTCCTAGCCACCATTTAAGACTCTGAAATCAGACTTCTGGATCATTTATTTATGCCAGCTGTTCCATGAGATGGAAACTTGTTTTTCAGCTGAGACTTTTTGTGATGGGAAAGCTGCTGTCATTTTCCCATTGATGATTATGCCTTGAGGGACTCCTCAGACTTGCAGAGTGCTGCATGTAAAATTAACTGTGCTCATGGGTGGGTGTCACTGGGAAGCCTTCAGTTTCCTGTCTGTGGCAAGTCCAGCCCATGCCTTGAAGGCAGAGTCATAATTAATGGAGAAACTGATGGTAGGCATAGCATAGACTGCTTAAGCCATGTACCTTATGCAGTCCCTTTCTAGGGTCGGCCAGAGAGGGGTCATTATCTCCATGTTTTCTGGCATATTTGATTCCTTAGCATAATTTTATATCATTAAAAGACAATACCTTAAAAATCCACTGACAGGTGTTTTTGACTAAGTATTCTGTGAGCCCTTCTATGGGGAATTTTTTTTTTTTTCTTCAAGATAAGCAAAGAAACAGGAGTTGAGAAGCAGCTTGGTGAAGGATGAAACCTACTTTCAGCAATTTGGAAAGGTTGCACTTTGTGAACTTTAAAATGGTTTGCTAGTTCCTTCAGAGGAGAGGCAGCAGTCCACCTTGAAGGCATTTTATGGACTAGAGATAGAGACAATAGTGAAAGAACCAGCTTGGAGTTTAATCCTTTGGGGGCCTGCTGGGGGTAGATACAGCAGGAGAGGGTATGAATGGTTCAGTCTGAAAACTTACATTGTTATTTTTTAAAATTACCTATGCAATTCTTATTTATTGCAGAAAATACAGAAAGATACTAGGTAGTAAAAGGTAGTCTTCCAACCATAGATGGAATTGATGAACATCTGTCTAGCTATATGCAAACACCTATCTAATAAGCATTTATTTTCCACTGAATTGACCTGTTACGAATGGGTTTTATTTTATGGTTTTCAGTTTATAGATTATACACTCTTTTGTAATAAAAGTCTTCATCAGCCTCATATAATGGTTTCTTCCTGCCCTAAGTTCCATCTTATAAAGATAGTATATAAATAAAAGTATAATTCTTACTAGTCTTTTATTACTGAGCATTTTGTTCTTTCCTCTTAGTATCATAAATAATACTTTATTGAATTGACCCTTTAAATCTTTCATTGCACATTTCTGGCTAGTAGAAATAAATTCTTAGAGGTCAAATTTGCTGAGTTAAAGGAAATGTAGTGTTTTTTTTTGTTTTGTTTTTTCTTTATTTGTTGGTGTTTGGGGCGCTCTTAACACTGAGCTGTATGCCCAGCCCTATTTATGTAAGTGTGTTTATATTGCTAAACTTCCCATGCTGGCCTCAGCTTGTGATCTTCTGCCTTAGCCTCCCAAGTAGGTGCTATTAGAGGCACACATCACTATGTCTGGCAGAAATGTACAGTTTTGATGCCCTCATGTTTTTTCTTAGATTGCACTGCTGAAAAGACCTACTCATTTATAGATTCACCGGTAGTTCAAGAGATTGCTTATCATTCCAGACTATATTGAATTAAGGTATTATTATTTTAATAAGTTTAGAAAATTTGAGGTATAAAATTTTATTTGATATTAATATGCACTTTAAAAATTATTTTTAAATAGTTTTCATGAATTTATTGGCTGCATTTTTTCTTTTGAATTCATTTGAGCATATTTATCTCTTTGGATGCTCATTTTGAAAACAGTGCTTCTTCCTTACCTTTGTTGGATTCAGTTTTATGCTGTGTATTTTCTTTAATGAATTTCTAGCCAATTTTGACTAGCTGACCTTAATGATAAGTGTATACTGTATCTATTGTCTTGAAGATCCAGCAGCCTGAGTCTCAGTTTAGGTATCTCTAAAACTTTGTACTACAGAGGCCGTCTTAGGTATTTTTCCTAAAATGACAAGGCTGAGGTACTGATACAGTAACTTTGTGCAATCACTTCAGATCATAATCTAGTAAATGTTGGGGAGAAGAGATGGTATGCTACTTGCCTGGATTTCTAAAAAGCTTTTCTAGTGTTTCCATGGGCATTGCGATTCTGTTTTATGATGGAATACTTATACAAACTGAAGGTTTTGTCCTGTTTGAAGACATGATGGTCCCAAGACACAGAAAGTCTAGATGATTTGTCTAGTGTCACTTAGGCTGTTAGTCACAAAGTTTACCTGTGATGTAAAAATGTCATCCTAGATCCAAAAAGGCACCACATTTTTTAAATCTTCTAAACCAGAAATTCTTGGAGGTAATTATCTTTTTGTTTGTTGTACATCCACAAAGCTCAGAGGAGGTCAGTGGGGCTGAGAATGACTGTGGCCTTTTTATAAGTTCTTACATTTTGTGCCATTCTGTGTTCAGAGGCAATACCCCCTCTTTTGGGAGATTTACCGAGGAACATAGATAAGGACTTACACACGGAGTGGAATTGGTCTTCTGTTCCATGATCTTTGTATGAATATATGAAATGCACACACATCAGTATGAGGATCACATGATTTTTAAGTTAGAATTTCTTTGAAGCTTGGCAGTACACCAAATAATTCAACCTGATGATCATAACCTCTTATGGCGCTACAAGAGTTTCTCAGCTCTTCCTACACCAGCCACTCTGATCTTTTTTGCTGATGGTTTCTAACTGTTTTTCACATTGGTTTTATTTTGTTTGAGATATATCTTCTTTCCTTTCACATACAGTTCCAAGTAAAGCAGTCATCAGGAGTAATATCCTTAGGATCAAATGAACATATGGAAATAGAGATTCCTTCATTATGGTGGTATGGTTTTCTGGGCTCTTTTGTCACTTTCTTTCCCACAGTCCTGGTATGTGTAGCAGTGGGAGTTACAGGCGAGGCTCTTTAGCATCCTTCATACTCATTCAACATATCGTTGCAGAGAGAACAGAAAATTGGTGTTCTGACCATAGTGTGTGTGACTTTAAGCCTGTCTTACCAAGTCTTCCATTCTAACAGAGTATTATGGACCACATGTGAGGATGACCGCAGAGAATGTATGTGAAAGTGAGGTCTGTGGCTATGAAGCACAGCTTCTTTTGTACTTCCCAAAGGACTACTTCCACACTCTGCCCTCTTTTGGGTGCCGCTGGGAGGAATTTCACAGAACCTTAGTTTTATTCTTTGTACAACAGAAGTTGTTAAAAGACTTAACTCACATGTTGTATCGAATAATATATAGGGAAAATGCTTTGTAAGCTGTAAATAATGAGTGTCATTATGATGGTTATTCACTTTCTTAAATCAGAAAATATTTTTGAGGATTTAGCACGTATTTAACACTGTGGTAGCTACTGGGGACATAAAAACCATCCTTTCTGTTGAAAAGCTTTGAATTTTATTGAAGAAGATACCACAGCTACTTCAAGGTGTGAAGCAGACACTATATAACTTTTTTGGAAAGACTATTCTTACTGAGAGTTGGTTTATTGGGGAGAGGTTTCAATCAGTAGAACTTTGAAAGATTAAAAGGTTTGAGTAACTGCATAGGAAGGAGACTGGCTGCTTCTTGGAAAAGGCCATTTGTGGGGAGTATTATTAGGTGTTTGAGATAGAAAAAAGGTCAAGAGGGAGGAGAGGAAGAGGAGGGGAGCAGAGCTCTGTTGATAGCATTGCTTTAATTGACAGAGTATGGAATTTACTTTTTGAAAAATAGATGATAGCAGTCTTAGAAAAACTGAGATGTCCAAGGACTAAAGCAATGTACCTGCACGGAGTTACACTCAGATTTAAATGAAGCTATAGTTAGCTGTAATTTGAGAGAAATGAGAGTCATCTCTCAACAATGGAGCAACGAATATGTCTCACTGTAGGCTGGCCAGAGAGCAAATCATACAATTTCTTGGGCCAAGTTTACATGAGTAGATAAAATATTTTGTCTGTTAGTCACTGCTTAAAAGTCTACTAGGTTCTAAACTGACATTGATAGGTAAATGTACCCCATAAGAATGTCAGTCAGTGACACACCTCTGGTAAAGCTCTGTGTCTTTATGTTCTGTAAACCTTCTCAACCTCAAGATGTAAAGCAAAGTCAGTTTTCCCTGCTTCTTATAGAACACAGTTGTTGATTTAGCTTGGGTCTGAAAACAGTTCCTAAATCTCACTGAGGAAGGGACAAAAAGGCCCTTGACATCCAATCACCAGGAGCCTTCTGCTGAACAGTGCAGGAAGAGCACGTGCTCTGAGTGTGCTAAGAAAATAATTGAAAAGTGTCCACAGGGAATGAAAAAAAAAATAACAGATGGTTTACAAACCACTTTGGGATTGTAAAGGACTTCAGACCAAGTGTAAGGATGTGGACCGAGAAAAAAAATCTATGTCAAGGATAACTGGACATAAATTCCTGCTGTGTTTCTTAGTGGTAAACATTACGTCACCCAGTGGTAACATTGTGTCAGTCACAGCCTTGTCACCTTAAACTGTGCATTTCAGTGCTGAGATGTTTTCTTGCTAATATGCTGTTCCTCACTTCCATTTCATAAAATGGAGTAAGAGGAACAAGAGATGAAAATGCTTGTGTTTTTCCTCAGTTTCCTTGCAGTAGATTGATGATTAACAGCTGGATATAGTAAATGCCTTCATTTTTGGAAGACACATTCTATATAACATTTTGTTGTGATTAATTTTTTGCCAAAGAAAGTGTCTTTAGAAAGCCAGTGCAAGTACATATAAGCCAAGCTTTTTTGCTATCCACTCTATATGATTAAGAATTCTGTATATCTGGCCTCCTTGTGACAAATTTTCCTTCCAAGAGACATAACGTTTCTCTTTAATTCTTTTTAAGGAAACAACGTCACAATAAAACAAAATGAATGTTAAAAGGGTCAGAGCTACATTATGAGCCATTTTGCTACGCAGGCGATATATTGTGACCCGTAAAGCATGTGTGGTAAAGGGTAGGGTCAGGAGAGGAATTGTTACAAAAGTGAACCAGTGAAGTGAATGATGTCAGCCCAAAGCTACTCCCATTCAAAGAGCTCATTGAAAGCCCAAGACCAGCAAGTGTGATTAAGCCTCACATGGCCCCAACACATTATTTTAAACATGACTTGATTTCAGCTTGTTACTCTCTTGTATGTTATTGCTATATGTTGTTTAAAAACTGTGAGGGTATTGAATTCAGGGCCTCTTGCATGCCAAGCATGAGCTGTACTACTGAGCTATACCCCAAGTCCTTTTTTCCCCCCCATTTGGGGATAATTTGATGTTATAACTGAGTAGTGGCAACATAAATTGCTCTTCAAAAATCATATGAATTTGTTAATATTCATGGAAAAATTGTGAAATTATTAAGTCTATTAAGACTGTCCTTTGCCTTGCAGGATTTATGTTTTCAAAGCAAGCATGGGCATATATGTTACATGCTAAGATAGATGGTGCTTGAAGGCTAGGACTCTGTTCACACTTGTACATTTGCACACCCTGTCATAGCACGCTTCACATAGGAGGTGCTTAACAAATATTTTTCTTACTTGGTTTGGAACGACAGGAGTCAGTACTTTTCCCCAGGTCTCTATTTTCTCCCCATACGTATAAAAAAGATATTTAAAACTAGAGCAAGGGCTATTTATTATTATTTAAATGCTAACAACATTTAGAACAATAAATATTTTGTTTTAATATTTTAGTAAGTATTAGCTTCTATTGTTCTTCTTGGTAAAATGTATTTATCTGGAACTAAAAGCCTTGTATTGTGTTTTAGCCCAAGAATGTGTGTTTAGCCGAGAATGTAATTAGGAGAAATACTTAAAGTGTTATCAGTGCAGGGTCCTTTCTTCTAGCGTTTAAACAGTGCATGCCAAAATGTCATCTTTCTTTCTTCCCTTCTGGCTGTTCTTCCAGGTCCCTTATTTCCCGGGAGTCTCTGAGCTTGACAGAGAGTCAGTCGGCCTTGAGCGTGAAACAAGAGTGGTCTCAGGGCTACAAGGCCCTTCCTTTGCTTTCTTCCAACCACGGCTCTCAGAATGGCGTGGATCTAGGGGACCTCCTTGGCCTTCCTCCAGGAACACCCATGTCCAGCAATAGTGTCTCCAATACATTGCCACCCTACCTTTTTGGCATGGAAAACAGCCACTCTTCTACCTACCCTAGTCCCCGGCATTCGTCCGCCAGGTCGCATTCAGCCCGCTCCAAGAAGAGAGCATTGTCCTTGTCCCCACTGTCCGATGGCATCGGGATAGACTTCAATACCATCATCCGCACCTCGCCCACATCTTTGGTCGCCTATATCAATGGGTCGAGGGCTTCGCCGGCCAACATGTCCCCCCAGCCAGAGGTGTACGGGCATTTCCTGGGTGTGCGTGGCAGCTGCATCCCCCAGCCCTGCGCGGTGCCCAGCGGGCAAAAGGGCGTGCTGGTGGCCCCCGGGGGACTGGCGCTGCCGGCCTACGGCGAGGACAGTGCGCTGGAGTACGAGC